CCTAGAAAAGGCCCCAGGCTCTTTATGTTAATTATTCCATCCAGTTTCCAGAGCTCAGCATGCAAAACTGTGGCTTGCTGAGTCACAAACAGTCCTGTTTTACCCATTCCTTAGGGAAGGAGACATCCTTCTCTTGCATTTATTTGACTGAGAGGTACACCACTCAAAAAAATGTAGGAAAAATTAAATTGACGCCAAGCTTACTTGGTTCTTCCTAAATTTAATTGGTAGTATCTCCTGCTTAAAAAAAAAATCAGTCAATCAAATCAGGTAATGAGGATCTGGTAGGGACACCCACACGCTACTGGACGAATGAATAAGTAATGTCGACCAGCTATTTATTATACTTTGGTTTGTTGCTTCAAGAGACTTAGAAATGTTGGCATTGTTGCTTATGGAGTAGATGTACACGTGGTAAGAGGGCTAAATGGGTAACAGTTGAATTGATCAGGGAAGAAGTTGCAAGACTGTGGAGTAGTGTTGTAAGATTAGAATTAAGAGAGTACAGGTGTTTCTTACTTTGGGTGGTAGTGTGAAACCATGAAAATGACCCTGCAGGCTAAAATTATGCAAAGTCATTTGATTATCCATGGGGGAAATGATGATTGCTCTGTGACCTTTGCATTTTTGTTTATAACATCAAAAAACTGCCTTACTCTAAAGTATAAATGTGTAAGGAAATACCAGAAAATTTAAACTAGTATTTAGTACACTGTAAGTTAAAATTATAGTGTTGTAGTATAAATATTAGAAATAGAAACATTGAGAATCGAAGTGTTTTATTTCTTTTACATAACTTATTAGTTATAGTTTGACTGGTACTTATCTGCATCTTTGCATCATCTAGTTTATGATCCTGAGTGAACATCTTTTCTCTGCCCTGGCAAGTTGTCACGTTACTTCCTAAGAGTGGATCAGAGTTCAGTAGTTTATCCATTGCACTTGCCATATCATAAAATACATCCGAAAGTTTCTTTAGTGGAAGCTGGAGTACCCTGTAAGGGGCCTTGACTATCCTGTCTAAGTGCTACTGAGTCACACTTGGCTTGCTGGCACGCAGTAAGGCCAAGATGTTAACCCCCTGAAAAGAAAAAGACTCTGGTTCTTGTCATACCTGAAGGGTAAGTTTACAGTTGGGAGACAGAGTGCATTGTGTAGTGAAAGATTTTAAAAGATTTATTTAGAAAAGGAAAAGTACACCCCCCCGAGAACTGGGGGCAGGCCAATCCAAGGGAGGAAAAGTGGCGGTTTTTGTCCCGCCTTTCTCTTATACCCTCGCTTAGAGGTAGTCTTTTGATTGATTGATGGCTCTTGTCCCTGGAATGCTGAGTCACATTTGGCCCCTTTGAGCACGCCCTTACCCATGATGCAGACAGAAAAACCCGTGGGGTGGGGGCGGGGCTTAAATCTCAATGTTAATTATAATGCAAGGAACATTGCGTTGTGTCCGGCTAAGTCCTTTCTGCTACTGTGCAGTCGTGGCTGTCAGGTTCTAACTGGTTTCTTGCTGGCATAGCCTTTATTGTGGGTGCCAAACAAGAAGTGTGGGATGCTGATGCTCAAAAAACCCAAACTCCCCAATGGGTTTCAGGGAAGCATTTTTAAAGGCAAGTTGAGGGAGGAGAGTCACAGGGTATGTGATCAGTGTACAATTCTCTGATTGATTGATGGAGAAGTGACAGCGTGGTATCACAGGGGTTAACATTATCAATCCTCAGGCCCCAGCTGGTCTGGGGGCTACATGGTCATGGTCATTATATAGTTAACTTCTTCCATTTGGTGGGGATTTTAGCATCTATAAAAACGTCTCAGGAAATGGGCATCAGGTACTTTTATCTAGGTACTTCAGGGAGGAACTAAAGATTCCGTGTCTGCCATATGGCTGATTTACTGTTTAAATCGTTACCTATTCTCCTGGGCCCAGCTGCTTTTTTGTCACTGCCTGTTCACAGCCTTTCAGTCATTAATTCCCGAGCTAGGCTTTTGTGACTCAGGGGAGGCCTGGGAGACTCCAGCTTTTCTACAAGCAAGAAGCAAGCAGGGAACATGGTTGGGGATGTTCCATCTCAGGAAGGCCCTGGAGGGTGCTGCTTGGTTACATAAGGTCAGTGGAAACCCATTTAAGGGTTATATATGAGCAGAGAAATGTGATATGGAACTTTGCAGTCTTATAAAGATATCAGTGCAGAATGTTAGAAAATGGAGTGGCGTTGAGGAGAGGTGATGTGATCTGGTGGAGGTTTAATGGAGATAGGAGAAAAGGAAGAATAATTATTTAATGCAACATACAAGACTTAAATAGTGGAATATATGGACATGAGATGCATTGAAGCAGGAGACTCAGCAGATTTGTGCAGCAAAGTGATTGTAGGGTCTGGGACGCCTCTAGGGAATTAATATGCATGAACTAATTTTCACCAGAATAGATTGCATTTGAGAATTCTGGAAAGAGGATTATTTTCTGTCCAGATTCTTGTAGGGAGCGTCAGGGATGCTAGATAGCCATGGTGTCAGTTTCTTAACCCCGCTGTAATGACCAGGTCAAAGCCTTAGGGGAAAAAAAGGAGGACTGGTAAGGAAAAGTAAAATGTGCTTTTGCATGAGGCACTAGATGACACAGGTATCAGTGCTTCAGTACACGGGTGACAGTGTGTGGCCAGAGTTTGGGTTAGCAGCCTTCTCAGCCATTCCTGTGCACAATGAAATCTGGCTGTGGCACAATGAGAAGGGAAGTCAGCCTGTTTGGCTGCTTAAGGATGAACAGCTTTTGGAAAACAGGAGACAGCACCAGAAGGAGGGGACCCTGTTCTATAAAGAGCACTGGCAGGAGACACCACTGCAGGGAGTCCTCCAGATCCCTCTGAGGCAGTGAGCAGTCACAGGGGTTTCGGGGCAGAGTCATAAGAAACGACTGAGCAGGAATTTATACTGGAGGCACTCCCAGAAATAATTTGGGAGACTTGGAGAATCTTAAGAGGTTGGGTGGGGGGGAGTCTATGAACCAGAGAAACTGAATATTAATATGAATATGATTTCATTTTTACCAACTTTCTGTTGAGGTTAGGGAACACTCAGGGTACATTTTCACTTATAATAATAAATTATCCTCTATAGTGTCTCTTCCACTAAAATGTAATCTGACTGATGGTTGAAGGAGTGACATATTGATGTGTCTGTCTTTGTAAAAACACAGCACCTGGCACATATTAGGAACAAAATAAATGTGAGCTCAATGAATGAATAAATGAAGGAATTAGAGACACAAGATACAGTTGTTATTCAAATGACCTTATTTAAGTAGGATAAAA